TATATCAAGAGTTTCTTATATTGAAGGTTTCTTATATTGAGAGTTACTTGTAATAATAAATATGAATAAATAATTTATAAATTTGTTTTATTAATAGGAAAAAATAATGGAGTTGCTACTATTTTTAAAAAAGGAAACCCTTTTCTTTTAGAACACCATTGTATTGCTCATCGATTAGCTTTAGCAGCAAAAAATGCTGCTGAAAAAATTCCTTATCTAAAAGATTATAACTTAATTGTTAATAACTTATATTCTTATTTTAGTTCTTCTTATAAACGAATGATTAATCTTCAACTAGTAGAACAAACATTAGATGAACCAAATATAGTTCTTCTTCGAATTATTAATACTCGATGGCTTTCATTAAGTAATGTTGTATCTAATTTACATCGAATATTAGACTCTGTTAAGATAGCATTACAAGAAGATTCTTCAAAAAGTGGTATTAGTCAAGGACTTTATAATGCGATAGATCAAACTTTTTATATAACTACTAAGGTAATTTATACAATATAATATATCTATATACATATAATTTAATATTTTATTTATTTAGTTTCTTGCTGATATTCTTTACGATTTGAGAAGTTTAACAAATCTTTTTCAAGCTGACTACATTACTATTTCTGAGGTTTATACACATTTAAAAGCAACTATTGATACAATTACTACTCAATATATTGGCCGTAATGGAATGCCACCAAACTATGAAAACTTTTTAAAAGAATATATTGATGAGCAAGGAATATTGTTCGAAGAACTTCCAGATTTTATTTCTCAATTTGCTATTGCTACTATTGAATCTCTTCAAGATCGTTTTCCTGATTCTGAGATATTAAATTCACTAAGAATTTTTGATCCACGTGAATTACCACCACAATATAATCAAATTCATTCTTATGGTAATAATGAAATTAAAACATTAGTAAAATTCTATGGAAAACCAAAAAATTTTTGTCAAATTGAATACCAGCCAATTATTGATGGTAACTTACTAATTAAAGAATGGGACATTTTTAAATATCGATTACTTAATTATTGGACTACTACAACAATTTATACATGGAAAGCTTTTTTTGATCTTCCAAATTTTTCTACACAGTTTCCAAATATTACAAAACTTGCATCAATTTTTTTAATTACACCTCTTTCTAACGCTGTAGTTGAAAGAGTTTTTTCTCACCAAAATTTAATTAAAACCAAATCCCGAAATCGGCTTAATGTTTCTACTTTGCATATGTTACTTTTAATTGCAATTAACGGACCAGAAAGTGAAATATTTGACTGGGAAAAAGCATATAATTACTGGATAACAAAAGATAGACGCATTTAGTTAAAATTTATTAATAAAAACTCTTAATTTAGGTAAGTTTCTTTTATTTATATTTAATTTTATTTACTATGATATAAATATTATTATATTTATAGTACTTATTTCAATTTATAGTTTTTTTAGTAAATTTAGTATTAAAAATTAAAACAGGTTCTATTCGTATAGTTATTATTAAAGAGAATGTAATTCTTAAAATATTAAGGTAATGGAATTATATATGTCTTAATCGCTAGGTATATTGAAATATATTTGTTAGCTTTTTTTTTTTTTTTATCATACTTGTTATCACTTATTCTTTTTTCAAATAATAAAATTAAATTCTATGAATTATATATTATTAAAATAACAAAAAAACTCTAATATAAATGAGACATAACTTAATATAGATAAGGTAACTTAAACGCGCTGAAATTATATTCAATAATTCCTAGTTTACTATTTTATAATTGTTATTATAAATATCAGAATTGTATCTCTTAAGACTAGATTTGTGTAGTGAATTGGTCTTGGATCTTTCTCCTTATAAAACTTAAATATGAACACTAGTTTGATTACCTTCAGTAGTAAAATGAATAAGTCCCGCATTACCTTATTAATTACTAAATTACTTTAAATTATAAAGTGAAACGTATACTTTATGTTCATAGGCAAAGATTAATTCGCAAATTTACAAGGTTTAATAATGAATTATCTACTTCAATCAAAATTTGATTTCCATATCATAAATATAATTAAGCGTATTTTTTTGTTCTTTATGTAATTCTTCATCGATTCCAGTATAAAGTTTACTATAATGAAAATTTAAGTATGGTAAAGTTATATTCTTGCGTAAAGCTTATATAATTGCTTTGACAATTGGTTCAGAATTAACTTTATTAATCGGAAGATCTAAAGAGATTAAAGATGAGTTGATTCGAAGTGCCCACGCAAATGCTTTTCCGCCAAAATTATTATTACTACAGTGCGCGACACTTAAAGACTACATTTGTCCCATTTCAGGTTCGTCAATAGTTGCTATATAGTAAAGTCAATATTTTACTATAAAAATCGATATTAATGTATTAAGTAAAGTTGTTTGAAAGATCAAAATACACATATTTTGAAAGTTTCACATTAATTAGATAACTTTTTGTTAATACGTTTTTGCATATTACGTTTAGGCGAAAATTTTTAAAAAAGTTTAAAATTTTGTTCGCCCAATCGTAATATGCAATAATGTATTAATAAAAGGTTGTTTAATTTATATAAAACTTTCAAACTAAATGTATTTTGACCTCCTGAACAACTTTACTTAATAAATCAATATCGATTTACATATTAAAATTTTGACTTTACTATGTAGAAATTATTAACGATTTTTATTTTAACAATTTATTATTTTATTCGAATTTAATTAAAAAAAAATATAAGTATTTTTAAGAAAATTTTTGATATTTTTTATATGTTATCATATAAAAATACTATATTTTTAAAACAATATATCTCAAAAAGTTGTTATAGTTTTTTAAAAAAAAATAAGGCCACTAAGTTATAGTAAATAATTTTAGCTACAAAATAGCGGCTTCCTTTTTTTGATATTGTTTTTAGATCAAAAGTTATTACAGTAGCTTTTAAAGTTTGTGTAGTCTTTAAGTGTCACGCACTGTAATATCTAAAGAGGTAAAGGTTGAATTTTCACAAAGAGACTCTGCTAACTCCTCGATTGCTTCAAGATCAAGCATGTTATCAGAAAGATCTAGAGGCTTAAGGCCAACGTTAATACAAAGAACGTCTGCGAATGCTTTCCCTCCTTCAGCGCAATGTCTATTATGGCTCAGATTTAAAGAGCTAAGCGAAGTATTTTTGTAAATAGCCTCAGCCAATGCTTTTCCTCCTCCACTATCCAGATGGTTATTACGAAAGTTCAAAGAGGTAAGAGTTGTGTTTTTACAAAGAGCCTCTGAAAAAACTTTTCCAGCTTTATAATCAATTCGATTACTAGAAAAATTTAAAGAAGTGAGTGTTGTATTTTTACAAAGAGCTTCTACCAATCGTATTCCTCCTTCCGAACCAATTTTATTATAAGCAATATTTAAAGAAGTAAGAAAAGTGTTTTTACAAAGAGCTTCTGCTAATATAATTCCTCCTTTATTGCAAATCTTATTAAAATAAAGATTCAAACAGGCAAGAGTTGAATTTTTACCAAGGACCTTCGCTAATGTATTTAAACCTTCAAAACCAATTTGATTTTCATTAAGATCTAAACAAGTCAGAAAGGTATTCTTACAAAGCGAATCAGCTAATGTTTTTGTACCTTCATCAGGAATCATATTGCTACTAAGATTCAAAAAAGTAATTGTATTTTTACAAAGTGCGCTTAAAATAGCTTTTACTCCTTCAAAATTAATATAATCAAAAAGTAAATTCACATTTCACAATAGCAAATATTATGGGACATATGTGTATAACATTCTAATTATAATAACTTATAAAAATATATGTGCATGAAAAAATTTTTTTACATGCACACATGTGCAACAGGTTGGTTGCTTGTGCACTCAAAACCTTTCTATTTCTTGCATGCTGTGCATATAGTTTTAGATCTGAATTTTAAACACTGAACCTAGGGCAGACTACTTAAATAGGCAATTAAAAGTTGCATGTATAGCTAGTCATATTCTTGTTAGTAATAACCAGAGAGCTTAAATAGGTCATCTCCTAGTTAGATTGCAGGTATGGCGGCTAGTGTAGAACCCAGATGGACTACTTAAATTAGATACTCAAAAGGTG